GGCTAGAGGCGAAAAGATACGGTAGAGCGAAGGAACAATGAATTTAATCTTGATTCGAAGAAAAGTGCAGTCGAAGTATAGCTACATAACGTCGATGCGTTTACACTCCGTGGTCTTGACTTCGGTAGACACGCGTGAAAAATTTTACACGCCAAACTTTCTCCTTTCCCTTTTCTGTTTTCCTCCCGTTTTACTTTCTTTGCGCACAAACGCGTTCTCGTCGTAAGACCGGTCCTCTCGACCAAAGCTGCTCAATCTACGTAGATCAACGGCGTTGTCGTGACCGTGAACTTTCGGGTTGGAATCGCTCCTTTGATCGTCGATATTTGTCAATTTCATGTCGAAACCTATTCTCCCATTGTCACGTGCTTGTTTTAAAATCGTCGTTTTATTTATTCGGACCGTACCTTTGTCGTTCGAAGCGAACCCCCGTAAATCGTTTTCTCTTCGTCGATTACGAAAGACGAACGAGTTCGAGCAACAACGAGTAAATAATCTTATTGTTTTGTCGTTGGCCTATCCGTTTACGAACGATTCGATGGAATCGAGAACAGATCCTAGCCCGAAAGTCGATCGCGTGTCCATTCTCGTTTCCTTGGAATTTTATCATTCTCGAGACAATGTTTTCTACCGATCTGTACATTTGTTGATAGTTTTATAATTTTATATTCTTATTTTAACACGACGACACGCTGCTCCGGCGGTGTCGTGTGCCCGACTACCGCGAATCGCAATTCCGCGTCGTTACGAGGCTCGCGGTGTTAATTATTAAAGAGAATTTGTTTCGTCGTCCGCAATTTTGTTCGAACGTTACGCAACAGCTGGACCGGCGAGGCCTATTTTTCTCGACACGCGTTTAGCGCCTAGCCGAGCGTTTCGCTGACGCGGCCAGCATTTTGTGCAATGTTCTTCCCGTTAATGGTCAACGTTTCCGTGTTTCTGCGTTCGCGCGAATTTATCTTTAGCTTTACCATCAGGTTTTGTCGACGGTTCGTATTAATTTATACTCGTTGGTTACGTTTCCTCGACTGAACGGCAGCTTCGTTAACGCGATACGCGAATTATGATAATTAATTGTCCCCGACACCGGACGCCCGTTTACAGGCGTCCATGTAAATACGTATCGGAAGCAGGTGAATCGGTATCCCTTTCTTCGACGCGCGTTACATTTCCGAGAACCTTTTGCGATCGTATCCGACTACAAGCATCGTTTTGCGATCTTATGATAAATGCGTCGCGCAGAGGCGAGGTAGCCAGTTCGACCAATTTGTTTTTTGGCGAACGACCACCGTTGCTCTCGCGTCTTTAACAGGTTCGCGTCGGCGAGAACACCAAACACCGCCGGCGTTCGAACGTGTCAAAGGAAGACCTCGATCACGGATACGCATTTTTCCAGTCTCGCTTTTCCGGTCGATTAGCCAGTATCCCCTTCTAACTCAACAAGCGAAAGCGTAAAACGTTTCGAATGCAAAAGGTATCGAACGCGTTTCCATCGATTCGTTCCCTGTCCTTTTTCTAATCATTAAGGTATCGTGCCATGTCACCTTGCGTCCTTTTTCGCTTTCACGCATCAAGAAACGTTCGCTGCAAGACCAACAACAAAAACCACCGCGCGCACTTAATCGTGCCGATTAACGAACGTGTAGAGGTCGTTCCTCGTGCCTTTGTTCAAAACCGACGGACCTTTCGTTACACGTATCACGAGAATTCTAGAACGATCGGGTAGACAGTTCTTCGCGACGTCTCGACCTTTTTAATTCCGTTGCAAGTATTATTATTTAATTTTCGTTCGAGGTATCCGAGCCGTAACGTGGAGACCAACGACGCGACGCGCGAGTTATTCGAAGCGTCGAACGTTTTCCTCCTGTGCGAAAAGTTTGTAATCGCGGTATCCTGTTTCGTTATTCATCTGTCGCATAGGAAAACGTCTTTCGTCTCCGTAACCGTTAGAAATACTTTCGTGCGATCTGCGAGTACAAAATTGAGACGGACTCGTTAGGGTATTAGGTTGAAAGCGGCACGTGCGAGCGCGGTAATTTTCGTTGTTTTCAACGAGACGCGGTAACGCCGATCGGGATTATACAGGGTGTCCCAAAAATGTTGTAACACCTTGAAAGAGGCGATTCGGGAGGTGATTTGAAACAACTTTTTCCTTAGCGAAAATGTTGTCCGAGGTTTCGTTGAGGAGATATTAAGAGAAAGGCCGCGACCAATCAGAGCGCGTAGCCACGCCTACCGCTACCGCCCACCGACAAACTCGCGCTCTGATTGGTCCGGGGCCTTTCTCTTAATATCTCCTCAACGAAGCCTCGGACAACATTTTCGCCAAGGAAAAAATTGTTTCAAATCACCTCCCGAATCGCCTCTTTCAAGGTGTTGCAACATTTTTGAGACACCCTGTAAAAGCGATAAAGAAAAATAAAAAGGATGGAGGCGAGAACGTTCGCGCAATCCTACGAATGGGGGCTGAGAGTGCGTGCGTGCGAGGAACTTGGTTGTATTATGTATAAATGTTGATAACTAGTTGATAGGAATGTGGAGATACTTGTCATCATTAACGATCGCGTGTTGTCATGCTGGACCCGAGACGAGGAGGTTGATCGTGGATCGACGAGTCTGCGGATCTCGTTTGAAACTGTACCGCGTAATCCTGGACCACGCGAAATGGTCCTAGGCTGTGTAAATAATTACCCCTGTACCCCGATTGCGTTAGAGGTTACAAAGGTACGATATAGTTTGTACGTTGAAGTATAAATATTACGACAGAATAATATAAACGGTCACTGTCCTTACCAAGCCGTAGCATTTCGCCTGCATCGATCGGACGAGAATATCATTATTAATACTTTCGCGTATCGATCTCCTCCGGTACCAAGCGACGTTCACATCGCCCGCCTTGTCTTCGTCGTCGGGACAACGGTCGGGGGATGCATAACGCGGAGTCGAAACGGAATCCAGACGATAGAAACGTCGTAGCAATTTATTATAGTCCGTAGCGGACTCCTCTTTTCTTTTTCTTTTTTTTTTTCTTTTCTTGTTTGAAGCAAAATGGTGAAAGAAAGGAAATGTACACGACCGACGTCCCTTACGGACGGTCGCGCGTCGTCATCGCGACGTAAAAAATCACTCCTCAGACCCTTCGAACCGAGCGCCTCTTTGTAATCCACTCGATATTCACGAGGAGCTTCGCGAGCTAACATCAATAAACGTAATGTACATTTTTTGCAACGAGCCCCGACTGTTTTACACCTCCGTCTCCACGTCTCTCCTCCTTCCGTCGAGGTAAAAGTAACAAATTCCCTTCCTCGTGCATTGTTTTATTTACGTATTAATTACCGAACAGAAATTGTCTCGGCGAAACACCGTTGTATATTCGAACTTGCATTTTTCGCGATCGCGCGCGCCTTACGAACCGTTTTCGCCGTTCTTTGTTTTTAAACGTTTTGGGTTACGATATGTCACTGAACGTGACGAAACCGATGAGTCAACCTTTTTTTTATGTATGTACCCGTGTAAATTCGAGGATAACGATCGCGATATTTGTACACGCTATTCGTAACGAGCGATAGATTTAATCTTTTCTTGTTTCCGGTAGAATTAAGGGGGGAGTCTGGTTCAGCTAATGTATTTTTCTAATGCATATAATTTCCAGATATAATTAATTTTTGCTATTGAAACTTTTTTTACATGTACACATATATATATATAAAATCCTTTCCTTGCGACTACTATTTCTATATATGTATACATTCAAGTTAAATCTACGCTGTCAAATTTTCTTCTTTGAACGTCCCTTTATATGTAAAAAAAGTTTCAATAACAAAAATTAATTATATCTGGAAATTATTAGTTGGACCAGACTCCCCTCTTAATTACAATTATTTGCAATAGCGCCGACATCGCCAATTAAAAAACGAAAGTAATTAGTTTCCTTTGTGTAGTTGCCATCGGAGAGCTCCTAGCAAGAGGCAACCCGGTGCTCGCGCGAGTAGCGACCTCGTTTATAACGTGCAACTCTGTAACTGGCAGAGATCGGTAGAATTTACGTGAACAAAATTTCTATGTAAAAAAGCCGATTAACGATCGTCGGTAACGTGTCAAAAATCAAGAGCGATCGATGTTCGCTTTGGTCCAAAATACACAGTGCCCCCTCCTGCATATCTCGAGGCTGATGAAATTGGTGAGATCAACGCTATTATAAATAATTACCTAAAGCTATTCGAATGTGCTCTTCCCCAGTCTATGCCAGTATTTCTCAAACGTTAAATCTTTCGGCGATTCTCCTAAGCTATAGAAATCGCTTTCTTATTTGTAAAACTGTCGCTCGTAGCGATTACTTTCTTAACGACCACTTACAATCGTCGGATTGATCGACACTCGAAAGCGACGTTCGTAATCTAGAAATCAGTAATACGTAATCTTTCGGACCTAATCGTGTCTAATTATTCGCTAATAGTTAATCACGATTATCGATTTCTCGGTAACCGTAATCACGGATTACGCGTCACTTAACCTTAATCCCTCGAGTTACGAAAAAAATGTTTCGAGTTCTTGTACAACTCTAGTCTTATTTATAAACGACTAAGAATCAATCCGAGCTACAGTCAGTGTAAGCGGTATTCGTACAGGAACCGGTTATTTTATAAATAAATTTATTTTACACATACAAATGGTTCCTGCACGAATATTTACTACAACGACTGTATATACCAAAGCATGTCGAATCGCGAAGTACGATCCGTAAAAGGGAAAAATTTGTACGCTGCACAGTTCGTTCTTCGTAAACGCCATCTGTGCATAGCTAGCCGTACTTTTTCGTAGTTTTCATCGCGATATATAAAGTCCATGGAAAACCCGCCAAAACAGTGTTCCCGAGTGTTCCGCTGTCTATTCGTTCGCTACGTGGATAATCAAAAGAATAACGTTAAAAGTTATTCCGCCGGGAAGCTGTTATACGCTGAGAGTACGTAAAATTAATTTATTACCGTTAAAATAATTAATCGACGAATCGTCGTGAAATATGTTCGCGCGGTGTGGAATACGATTCGAGAAACGTTGGCCTAAAATGCGCGGCAATTCGACGATTCTCGCGGGAAAGATAGCGGAGCACCACGATTGGCTACCATAGAAATTTGATTCCGTTTCGTTCCTTCCTTTTTCTTTCTTTCTCTCCCTCTCCGTCTCCGTTCCCCTCCATCCATGGCATTCGTTGTTCATCCGCCGCGTCCATCGGTCTCGGCCGCGTTAAAGGAAGAACGAGAGCAACGTTTCCCGAGGGAACCGTGGTAAACGGTGTTCAATCGAACCGAACAGTTTGTCAGTGACAGTGCCCTCGCGTACGCGATCCCTCGTGCACGCCGATAGACGAAGAAAGAAAACTCGTTAGACGCCGACTGTACGTGGTTTGGCCCTCCCGGCAACGCGGTGCCGCTCGAAGACAATGATCGTGCGTTCGAGCGGTTAGAACGAGCGAAGAAATTACCGGCAAAGCGTCGAAAACGTAGCGTCTCTTTCGTCGATCGAGAGACAGGACGGCCACGCTACCCCCAGGAACGGCTCGACGCGCACCGATTCCAGAAAAAGGTAAGCGAACGACTTTTTCCCTCCGATATCGATCTTCTACTCGTCCGACACGCGCTGCAATCTGGAAGATTCGACCGATCCTTCGATCGCGCCGCATCCGTTCGTAACGTTGCGTGAAGATCGGCGATTTCGGTACGCGCGATCAGAAATCTGTGACTAATCACGTGGCCATTTTAGTTGTCACCGATGCGTGGCATCCTTCGTTGCGATCGTTCGCGCGAAGCATCTCGAATTTTTTTATATCCGCGCTATCTCACTCGTTATTTTGGATATGGAATTCCATTTGGAATTGTTGCTAGAAATTTGCGCGAACTGTCGCTTACAAAGGTATTCGCGTAGTACGCGCTACTACGGATGTATCTATTCGGAATAGTGTGCACCTAACCCCCAATTCGCAAGATTTACAAAATAACAGATTTCTGCTGCGTACGTATTCGATCGCTTCTTACAGTACCGTTTGTTCGTTAATAACGACACCGAACCTGGAAAAGTACTTTTTCCATCTCTTTTTTGTACGCAACGAGGTTATGTATCGTTTCGACCCTCTTTTATGCAGTCCGCTCGAAGTCTGCGCGATTGCTATCGTGGAACACATAAAACGAAGTAATTGTATACGATCATCGACAAATGCCCTAACCCAGACCTAACCCCCAAGATTTACAAAATAACAGTCTTCGCTTCTTATAGTACTGTTTCTTCGTTAATAACGATATCAAACCTTGAAAAGTTCTTTCAACGTTTTTTTACGATCATCGACAAATGTCCTAATCCAGACCTAACCCCCAAGATTTACAAAATAACAGTCTTCGCTTCTTATAGTACTGTTTAAGAAGTAATCGCTTCTTATAGTACTGTTTGTTCATTAATAACGATATCAAACCGTGAAAAATTCTTTTTCCATCCCTTTTTTGTATACAACAAGGTTATGTATCATTTCGACCCTCTTTCATGCAGTCCGCTCGAAGTCTGCGCGATTGCTATCGTGGAACACATAAAACGAAGTAATTGTATACGATTGTCGACAAATGTATCGTTACCAGCCATCTGTCGATAACGCGAACAACGTTGATCGTTATTTCCGCATCCCGTGAATTTCATGGGAAATTATTTCTATCTACGAAACGTATCTACCTATCTTCGATTCCCGTCTGGTTCGTAGTTCGTTTCGTTTCTCTATCCGCGCCACGGTGGTGCTGCGCGAACATCCCGTACGTGCTCGGACGTTGTTTTTTTGCGAAAAAGAGAGAGCGGTTGTTGCCAGGTTCCATGCTATTCGCGTTACGAAACGTATTCTCTGCGAATGACCACGTTGAAAAACATTGTGGCGCTGGTGCTTACTCTTGAAACTTTTAGACGTGACATGCGCTGACGTCTAACCGACAGCGTACCATTAAAATCGCGCGTAAAATCTTGATTCGAAAACGACGTCCGTTGGAGCGATTCGGGCGCGTTTCTTTTTCGTTTTAATTCTCGTTCGAGCGAATGAGACATTGTTAATCTTTTACCCGTTACTCGAGACTCGTCCGTGGACGAGAAATTTACCCGTCGCTGGCTTCGGGTACATCGGTATTCCGTCGATTCCCGAGTCGACGTTTATACACGTTTTACACGTGGCCGGTCCTGAATAATAAAGCGCCAGCGCCATGGGAGGTTAACTTGCACGGCGGTGATTATGGCAAAGGAGATGCATGCGTAGATACGAGGAACAATGGAACGAGCGGTGACATGTTTTCATTGCGGAGGCATGTTTTCTTAGGTCTGAATGCCACATCGAGTTCCGTCGACTGTGTAATTTGTTGATTTAATTCGCGATTACGAGACTTATCGTTGCCAATTTGCGAAAGGATAGGCGCGATTTGAACACGGGCGCAACCGATTTGAAATTAGTGGAGTAATTCTCGTTATTCTCATTTGTTTCGTTTCTCAGTTTATCACACTGGCTGCCATTTCTTGTCTCTCTTGTCTGTAGTTTTGCCCGAGCAGCACCGGACCAACCGATTTGAAATTAGCGTTGCAAAGGGTTTTCGCTCTTTGTTTTACCTACTCCGCTATCTTCGTTTTACTTAAATCCACCACGGTCGCATGCGACTAGTTTCAGAGTGGTTCGAAACTGATCAGTTGCGTCCGTGTGCGATCGGCCTTAGGATGAAGTAGCGCCGAATAAATCGTCGAGCGAGCTGTTAGGGGCGTGTGCGAATGTTGGACGATCACCCTTTCCGCTTTGCCGAGTAACCGTCTCGGTTATCGCTAAACGCGCTCCGCTTCGATTCTCTTCGATAAATGAGACGTTCTCGATAATCTTATCTTATGCAAAATGTAAGCTTCTTCGGAGCTTCGTGGCAGGAAGAACCCTCGAACGGGAGATAATAAACGGCGTACTCGCGTATGACGTATGTACATTCGATACGCGCGCAGAATCGATTGCGACAAATCATTCCGTATTCCCAGAACGCGCGCAAAGGCAGATTTAGATCGGTGAAATTGGCCACGTGGCTCTACCGGCCTTGGGAGAAGAGAAAACATATCATCCGCGTAAATCCGCGAAAAGATCCGAGTTCTGACGTCAGACGCATTCGAAATCGTACAGTAAAGAGAAGCTCAAAGACGCGCTCGACGATACGTTATTTGTTTAGACGAAAATCGAGAAGTCACCGACCAAGTGGCACTTCCGTCGCGTCCGTGTAAACAAAGGTTCGCTCGCGACCACAGAGTCCCGTTCGGAATTCGCCCTCTATCCGTATACCTGGCTTCGACCAGATACTCGTCCTTTAAAAGGTTATGGTCGCTACTATCGAGAAGTCCGTTTAGAAATCAAAGATGGATTCCGGAATGAACGAGAAGTAGGACCTCTCGTAAGCTCGAAGAGTAACTCTTGGTAAATTCAGACGTTAATAGTCGCTGTTCGAGCAATCATATACAGGGTGTCCGAAAAGTCGGGGAGGAGCCGGAAATGGGGGGTAGCTGAGACGATTCTGAACAACAATTTCCTTTGCAAAAATGTCGGATGGTGCTTCGTTGAGGAGATATTAAGAGAAAATCCCGACCAATCGGAGCGCGCGTAGATCGTTCGAGCGGCCGCGATAGCGAAGACTACGCGCTAGCCGGCAACGCTCATTGGCTACCGCGAGCGCTGCATCGGCATCCTCGCGCTCTGATTGGTCGGGGTTTTCTCTTAATATCTCCTTAACGAAGCCCCATCCGACATTTTTGCAAAGGAAATTGTTGTTCAGAATCGTCTCAGCTACCCCCCATTTCCGGCTGCTCCCCGACTTTTCGGACACCCTGTAGAAAGTATTCGTACAGTGGGTGTAGAAAGTATTCGTGAACCGATCAATTTCCAAAAAAAAAATATATAAAATTGTAATTGATTAACTTATTTTTTATAAACAATGACATTCTACGTATTCTCGGAAATCTCTAGAATAGAGTACACAAAAAAAAAGTAGCTATTTATGTGAGTTTTTTAAATGTACTTCACTGTGGAAATTTAATGTTTTCCAATTCGTACGGAGCAATAAACTAACGTGTTTACGTTACAAACTCTACTGCAAATGGTTCGTCATAAGAACCATCGTGCCATCGTACAAATACTTATTGTTTTTATACTTTTACCCACTATACACACTTTTTTGTTAACATCACAAATTATATCGACTAGCGAATGTTGTTTGGACTATATCTATGTTAGAGAGTTCCGAGAATATGTAAAATATTGATTATAAAAAAAAAGAAGGTAAGAAACTACAATTTCATACAAACGAACGCATTCTACACTCACTGTACGTAATCGCGTAGAGACGCTACAAAGTGATTTCTTTCGGGCGAAAAAATCTCGCCGCCGTTGACAATGACAGTAGACGCTTCTGATGCACTGTTTGAATTGTTGACGCTTTCCGAACCGCGCAGCTCGCACGTGACTCTCTATTATGCTTTTGGCCCGGTTCCCTGGCTTTTTGACACACGCACACACACACACACACACACACGCGCGCGCGCGCGTGGTCATATTTATTTCTTCGAATCTCGCTCCCGATAACGTAAACATCTGCGCAAACGCGGACCTGTTCGAACGCGATTCACGCGGGTGTCTTTTTTACGAGCGCAAACTTTTACGATCGTTCCATATTTTTCTTTTTCTTTCTTTCTTTCTTTTTTTTTTTACAAATCATTCGCTTTACGAAATAACGGCATCATTCCGGATTTACAAAGTCGCGAGTTTCGTTTAGCTCGTTTAGAAAAGAGAAAAGAAAAGAAATTCATAATCTTACTTCTAATTCTTTTCTAATAAGTCAGAATAGGGCGACCCAATATCTTCGAACGAGCACGAAGTTACGCGTTCGATTTCGCTCGGCTATCATTTAACAGTCGCGATCCGCAGCCGTGAGCGAACTACGGCGTCGAAAGTTCCGTAATCTTCGCGCGTATACAATCAACGGTCGTCGATGAATTCCAGGCGTCGCGAAACGTGGCGATTGAAACCTGACGTCCGGTTTTTAACGATATCCAGCTGCGGTGACGCGTATTTCTGCGTTTTAAAACGTATCGCGATAACGTTCCTGCGCGTTACGGAATAGTAATCGCCGACGAGGTCGATGGTCAGACTGAAAAAGTCGGTCTTTAATAGAATGTACGAAAGTAACCAGACCTAGAAATTCAAGAGGGGTAAAAAGAGAATTACAAACCGGAATGAAATAGAGTAACGAACGCGAGACGATCGGAGCGTCTGCGTTGGATGCTTTTGCCCAAAGATACATCGGATGGAAGTAAAATAAATACGCGGAAGTTTCGGAACGATGGCTTCAACGACGGCTTAAACAAGACGCGGGGAGAGTAGCTGGAGAAAATTCGAGCGGTGTTCGAACCTAGCTACGTGAACCTGGCACCCGACTTTTCCAAAAATTAATATTTTATTTATTGATTGATTTATTTATGGAAAATGATAGTGTTTCGTTTGTACTGAATTGGTCCAACAACAGTTCCATTTGTACCACCGTCAATTA